GACTCCTTCCCCTCTGTGTGCAGCAGTAAGAGACTATATTTGGCTCCACCCCCACGGCCGATCTGTTTCCCCCCTCAACTCTCCGTGCATGTCTCCTGCTCCCAGCCCCTGCGTGTGTGAGCTGTGTCGGCTGCCCGGCGCCCCTGCTGCTATGGCAACCTGTGCAACCACACAGCTCACAGAAACCCAAGCCTGGCCAGCCCTGGTGGCACCCCATCCTTATCAATATTAATATTCTACACTATATTATGGATCTCGTCCTCTAATTTTACATATTGACCCACTCTGACTTTGGACTGGAGGACATCCCCTTTCCTCTGACACTCTAGCCTAGCGCACGAAGATGCCATAGGTATCTATTTTGTATCGAGTGAAATGATAGCTGTTTCCATCCCCATTTCCCATGAGCTATTGGGCATGGTAGATGATGGCACCCAGGGCAGACCCCTACCTGATGGCACCCAGGGCAGACCCCTCCCCCACCCAGGCCCCTCCCTTAGCACGCCACTGGTTCTTATAAATTGGTCAAGTAGGTAAGTAAGGATGAGATAGAGAGCAGGTCTGTGTTCAGTTCACTAGCGCAGGGTATCCCGCAAATCTGTGTTCGGGGAAAATTCCTAGAACGTAGACCAGCTCTCGAATCTCCATGCTAGAGAGCTAGCCGTAAGTCTGAGCAGTCATAAAACAGGTATGTTGCAAAGTGAGGATCAGCTGTATTCCTACATATCCCCATCCCCCCAATACGTGTGTGTGTGTGTGTGTGTGTGTGTGTGTGTTTTATATTCCTTGCACTCAAGCTGAATATTCATAGTAATATGTTGAATTTACTTGCTGGGTGCCAGTCCTATGGGGATGTTGATATTCACCTAAATAATAGAAGCATGGGCTGCACTCACGGTCTTCTGATACAATCAGGGCCGGTGCAAGGATTTTTGCCGCCCTAGGCAAAAAAAATGTTGCCGCTCTTCCCCCCCCTCCCCAATATGTCCTGCCCACCATGTGACATCACAATGCCCCGCTCATATGCTCTGCCATATGGGCCAACGCCAGTCTTCACAAAGTGTCCTTTATCTGAAAAGACAGTGTGTTTACATTAAAAAGCTTAAAGGCACAGGCTATAGACACCAGAACCACTACATTATGCTGTAGTGTTTCTGGTGACTATAGTATCCATTTAATGTGAGGTAAATTAGAGATTAGTGCCTCTAATAATATATTGGATTGCCTACTTACCACCAGATGAGGACAAGAGGCTGATGATGGGCTCTGTCTGGCTCCACAGGTCTGGTGTAGAAGAGGCTCTCTGGAGACTGTTTGTAACAGTGCTCACAACAATTAACGAACAGGAAGCAGCTCCATTTTTTAGGGCCCCTTACACAGCTCAAGGTCTGGGCCCCCAGGGCTTGACCGTGAGTATGCCTACAATGCCCACCCATAAATCCACCTACATGGCCCACCCGTGAGTTCTCTCACAGGAAGTGGAGTGTATGTGTGTAGGGGATGTTTTATGTGTTATTGTAGAGGATGCAATGTGTGTGTGTTCTTATAGAATGTAGTGTATAGGGATACCAATGCATTGTAAGGAATGCATTGCATGTTTCTGTGTGTGTATGTGTAAGGGGTGCAAGGTGTGGTTCTGTGTATTTAATTGAATGCAGTGTGTGTCTGTAAGGCGTGCATTGATTGTGTAAGAGATGCATTTTGTTTCTGTGTGTAAGAGAATGAGTTTGTGTGAACGTAAGGGATGCATTGTGTGTTTCGGGTGTGTGTGTGAGTAGGAATGCATTGTATGTTTCTGTGTGTGTGTGTGGGGGGGGGGTGCATTGTGTATGTGTGTAGTGTAAAAGAGAGGGTTTGTGGGGTGGGAGCAGCTCTTTATTTTTTTTAATTTTTTTGCATAGTGCTCACCCTCCTGTAAATTATTGATTTCCCCTTCCCTCCTGTCCCTTAGTGCTCTCCCTTGGCCCCCTGTAGTCACCCCTTGGTGGTCTTCTCACTCCCCCCTGTCCCCCTTAGTGGTCCTTCATCCCTCCCCTTAGTGGTCCTCCCTCTCCCAAACCCCTTAGTAGACATTCCCCTTAGTGGACCTCCTCCCTCCTCCCTCAGTGGTCCTATATTTGGCTCCACCCCCATATTTTGAAACAAGTAAGTGTCTCGGCTTTCTTGTTTCAAATAAAAACTGCCTTTTAGAAGAAACTCAAGTGTGCCTGGATATTTCTTTTATTCCATTTGATGTCTTCAGGGATTGGTCCTCTCTTTCTGGAGCACCCTGCAGGAAGTGATCCCCCTTTTTTAGTTTGTGTATACGCACAAGCGTATAAAACAGATAATCTGTAGAATCTTGCTAGTAAAAAGTTTAAGGTTGCTAGCTCTTGTTTTCGGTATAAGTAGGCAGCTTGAACAACCCAAACCAGAGTTTGGTTTTGGTTCTTTCTGGTCGTAGGTAGATATTGCATAGAGGAATTGGGGAGGGATGCAGCACCTTAAGTCCAAAGTCAGAAAGTTATATTGTGTAGTATATTAATAGCATTGGTGAAGTAAATAAAATTATTTCACTTGGTCTTTTAGAACTGATTATATCACATGGAGCCCTTCCCACTTTACCAAGATATCTCCTATATCCACAGGCTGGGATTGTACTACCCAGGCGCATATATTTGGAGCTAATCAGCTCCAATAAACTGTAATGCAGTTCTTTTGTCTACCTTATCAATATTAATATTCTACACTATAATATGGATCTCGTCCTCTAATTTTACATATTGACCCACTCTGACTTTGGACTGGAGGACATCCCCTTTCCTCTGACACTCTAGCCTAGCGCACGAAGATGCCATAGGTCTCTATTTTGTATCGAGTGAAATGATAGCTGTTTCCATCCCCATTTCCCATGAGCTATTGGGCATGGTAGATGATTGGAATAGGTAATATTGCCAAAGAATGTCAAAGTTTGCAAGTTCCCTGAAACAAAATAGCCAATAGTATGTCTCAAGTATTTATTGTGATTGTGTTGGAATTTCAAGGTCATTCTAGCACTGTCAGAATCCTCAAAAAAAAGCACAAAAATTACAAAGCTATTTAACAATGGAAGAATGGATCACCAAGCTAATGCCATTTATTTGTCACTGTCAAAAATGTAAGACCCCCCCCCCAATATTTTGCATCCAGCTTTAATTGTCATGGTATTTGTCTCTTCTGTTTTCCATGCCATTTTGATTTACCGTTTTTGGTTTTCCCTTACACATTCTTTTCTTTAAACTTTGTGGTTTTTGGGGGTTCTTCAAAAATAAGAAAATTTTGACCTTTAGAATTCTCCTTCAACCAGGTCAGCGGTTGCCAGTGTTTTGTTGGGAGTGTTTGGCTATAAACCTGAGCATACCTTTTTCCTAAATTGAGATTGTATTTTTTAATAAATTTGCCTATTCCTTGGTTGGGTTTTTTTTATTATTATTTATTTTTATATAAATCTTTATTTTTGTTGTGCAGAAAAGTAACATGTCCTTGGTGCGCCACAACGGCGACATCAGGGTAAATTGGTAAACATTTGCAATACAGGTTGTGGCATTTGTTAGTCAGGCACATTTTTAAATTAGTTAGATTATTTCAACAGCGTAGGTTCTCGTTTACTTAACTAAAATGTAAAAGTATTACAGTACGATTAGTGTTGTGACCAGATGCTAATTGTTAGGACAGGCTTTTGTGTTTAGACTATTCAATTGCTGAGTATGTAGTAACATGCCAAGCTGCTGCGCCTTAACTGTATGTGGTCTTCTGTTTCAGGTGTGGTAGTGTTGGTTGCTCAACAGTTTTTCCCAGTTTTTCGAGACCATGGCCGATTCTGGGCAGGTTCATGGAGTGCACCATGTAACTTCACTATGGTCTCTATATCAAAAAGATATTCCAGGGAGATGGACATTTTTACAGTGGGGATATGAAAACCTAAATGATATATAGAAATATTAGGCACAGTTGGAGTTCTGTGCTACTAACCAGCCCTTAAAGGAACACTGCAAACATCATAGCCACTACAGTGTTTGGTAGTGGTTATGGTGCCCTGGTGTTCTCTCCATTGAAGGTAGTCAAACCGTTTTAGAACACTTTGACTTCTTACTATGCTGTCAGCTGGACTCTGCCATCATTCGAGTCTTCAGAGAGCTAGAAGTTTTTGAAGAATCTAGTGGAAGCAGGGAATGGGGAGCTTCCTCTAGATTTTCTGTTCTAAATCCTGCAGCAGAGAGCTAGCTCATTGGCTGATAACATTATCTGACCACTCTCAGCCAATGAGTTAAGCTCTCTAAAGAGATGAAGGCTGTAGTTGAGGCAGGTAGCAGCAGCTGCTGGTTGACCCTAGGTTAGAAGTCAAATTGTTCTCAAACAGTTTGATTACTAACAATGGGAGGAGGGGGAAGTTGCATGAATGGGAGCACTAGTGCTCTCCTGGCACCATAACCACTATAGTGGTTATGGTTCTCAGTGTTCCTTTAAAAGTTACACTTCACTGAAAATCTGTTGAAACCATGGCGCATTGAACAGGACCAATGGTGAGTGGATAGGGTATACTTGAGATGCTTGTTTATGGTTAGTGCTTTGTCCAGATATCTAGACATGGATGTCCCTTTGTGGAATTGCTATGTTTCCACCTTCTTCACCATTTGCTTGACCCAACGGACTACAGATTTATTATTTTGTTTGGCTGGTATCTCGGTACTTTGTCTTCAGTAAGATGCTTGTAATGTTAGGATGTTTCCTGTAAACTTGTGGTATTTATTTTGTATGTGCTCTATAACGAAAAGTAATACTACAAATGTAAATCGCATACTCCTCAACTGTCCCACATTTAGTGGTTCGGACCCCTGTACCTAAATCCCAGAAGTAAGACTCAAGAGAAATCCACAAAGGTGCTTTAAAAGGCTAACATGGGAATTTCTCAACACACAAGAGTGTTTAAGACTGTGTGCCACGTTGACACACACATTCTTTCTGCATTCTCTGTTTAACCA